TTCTCCACTGTCTTTTATTTTTTATTTTTCTCATATAGCGCTCCCTTCATAAACGAACAAATATTCTGTTATATTAAATAGCACAGTGCAAATCCTTGATAGCAACAGATGAATAGATAATTGAAACTTTCAACAGCACTTCTCAAATGAACTATGCCCCATTTCTTCAGAAGACTTACAAAGAGTGATGAATTAGCTCACCTTTGCACTGAAAACCATTAAAAAAATTTGCTTAGTTCTAAAGGAATCTAGCCATTACTATAACAATAACCTCCTAATACTACGGCAAGTAAAAATTTATAAGCAATGAAAAATATACCCAGTATATTCATTTCGTAATTCCGCATTTCTGCATTTTTGAAGCATCGAGCAGCCTTCAGATAATGGCTATATTGCATGCTCCAGTCACCTATTTTTTCATTAATTTTTGCCATTTGTATATAGCACATCCCCGCATACTGCTCACATTCTTGATCCCTAAAATAATTTTTAAAAGTAAAGTGAAACTATGCAATAACTCAACTGAGAGCACTTTGTTATTACCTTTTCTTAATTACCAGATACAGAAATATAATTTCATACCATACAAATTCTTAATTAGAATGAAATCAAATGAATCATTCGACCGGACGACTGTAAGTAGGAAGGGAAATAAATCCTCTATTTATTTTACAACATGATATAAAAGATCCCATTTCCCGTACTTAAAATCTCGAAGCAATTCTTCAGTGCAGTATGAAGCTAAACTAATGACTAAAACATCGTTATAATTCTATAAAGGAATAAAAATCAAACTGGAATCGTAATGCCAAATCCGCAAGCTCCGCCAAAACTTGATGATTATTTGGTTTCTTCAGAAATTTTTTCTTCAATGAATCTAGTGCTGATTTGTATTCTTTCCACGGGTCTCTATAAGGTTCAACCATAACATAGACTAGTTGTCCAGTAAAACTGAAAACAGAAAACGAACATTTCAATCACGTAGTAAATCTAGATACCTCTAATATTAAGGAAAAAAAAAGGCATTTCTTCTTCGAGAAGTCTGGAGGACTTGACTCCGTTCAAGATTTGACGGATTTGGAATGGTTTTTGATTTGGAATTAGAATGGTTTTCGTAACAGTAATGTGTTCAAAACAGTTATGGCTGTAATTCACATAAGTAAAACTGCTGCATATATCTTGCTGACTACAATAGTCTATTTACAACCTATCCGAGATGGAGATGATTTCAGTTACTCGTATTTATACTTCCGTAGCCTTAATATCAAAAGACGACGAACTCAGCATTTTTTACAGTAATAGCGCCACGCCGCAATCCCGAAAAAAAGTCATAATCAATTCATGCAAACTCAAATGAAACGCAATAAACTTGTGGAAATCAGAGGGTAGAAGCATTCTCGACCGACCAATTAGAATAGAAACGATTCTGTGCCGAAAAAATATATATAAAGAATTAACCCTTTTGTTTTCGCAAATCAACATCGTGAAATCAGTAGTTTATTAACGTATGTATATATCAACAGAAATAATACAGAGACATTTTAGTCAGGGAGATAAACAATTGCTCGAGTCAATGCCTAATTGAAAAGTGATCCATGAGCTCCCTATCGATATCTGTTACCATGGATGATGTATCCAAACGCATTGCGTCATACCGCAATATACAGTCGTCCATTTTTCTTTCAGCTCGATCTTCAGCACTGTAAATGGAGACTAATGGTTTCAAAACAAACATTAAAAGAGTGATAAAACATTCTGCACTACTGATGGTTTCCTTTATGACAGCTTACTCGACTTTAACCATCAATTCTCATTTCATAATTTGACACAATGTGTGATGCATTTTCTAGGATAATGAAAAGTTTTTCATGTTGAATCATCGACAGTAAAGAAATCCATATCATGAAATAGTGATTTATTTTTTTTTTTAATCACGCATTATAACATAGATTTTTTGCTTCCTAAATGAAACTATTCCAGCTCATATTAGAAAATCAGGGTGATTTTTGGATCTCAGCGTTACGAGAAAACATACTTCTGGATGGCGTAACTCAAAAAATTGAAGTCATGTAAAATTAGGAATTCCTTCAGATCGTGCGTTAACTTCAATAACTCATCTGCAGCTCGTATCTGAAAATCTGTCTTGCAAATCTCAATCATTACCTCGATATTTTACTGACTGAAAAATATGTTGTTCATTACTTCCGACAATCACTCACTGAAGTGTTGTCTGGTAGCTTGATGATAATTTATTGATAATAATTAGTAACTGAAAAACCCGATGTTTTCGGTGCTGTGTTTATGACGACAATGCGAATCCTATGCTGATTTCGTAACATAAAACATTAGCATAATTAACCTAACGTTATCTGTTTTTGTTTTCTAAGGAATGAACAGCACTGAATTCTGCCACATTTAACTTCCTATCTTTGAAAGATCCCCATCTCCACTCCAATAAACTATTTTGTAAAATATAAACAAATAAGCTTTAAGTTTAGCTTATATTGATATTTATACCATTAAAATTTTTTAAGATGAACTGAACAATATTTTAAAATTTCTCACCAACCATTAGAGCAGCCCGTGCAGCAGTTTCGTTTCTCATTGTATAATAATCACTCATACGACCTACTGGATTTTTGTGTGCCGCATCGTCGATGTTAATCTGTAAGCTGATTTCATCAAGTAGAAAACTTGAAAAAAAATACTGTTATCGGGAAATTTTTTCTTGACTTGCTAACTATTTTGGGCATGATCTCCTGCGCATGACGTAACAGTGGCTGCACTGCATAATCATGGTCTCATGAACTAGTCATCAAATCGCTGCATTTAATCAAACCTTTGACTTTACCATTGATGATTAAAATTTCGGACGAGATAGAATTATTCGTTTGAGAAGAAGGATATGTGATTTACCTACTGTATGTTAATTTTGATGGTTTAAAAACAATTTAAATTGTTTTAAATTGAAGGAATTCATCAAGAGGAAAGAACGTAATAACCTTTGCAACAGAAATAATATTAATAAAATTATCATTCAACGATTTAATGTTATCCTTTAATCTTCGTTTATATTCTTGCACAATCAGCGCTTTTGTTGCTATATTTCGACCGCTTTTCCTCACTGTTGCAGCTGATACTTGCGCCATTCTTGACTTAACGAAAATAATTCACCCTAAATTGAAATAATTTTCAAACTAAGAAATATAAAGCAGATTTCTATGAAACAGATAAGATTAATGCATAAATCCTACTAGACCATATCGAATACAATATACACATACAAATCTTTTGTACTTTTGGGTATACAGTGATTTTAACCGTGTATCCTCACTTACACGCCTAATTTCTACGTCATACTTCTAAGTAATTCACCGAAACGCATTGTTCATTTTGAGCAGTCGAATGATTTAACTTTCTACTTTCATTCTAGGTTGCTTCCAGATGTCACGTACAAAATGGTGCAAAATGGTACCACGCGAGGTACCACACGGACATCTTATCACCTCTCTTCCCACTTCCTTCTCCTCTGTAACCGCTACACACCTTCTTCTGAATCTTCCAAAATTAACACTCTCTGCAACGTTGCATAGCCGTCTGTCATCTCATTACGTCTGAAAAGAGAACCCTCATGACGGGATATTTGTTGATACCCGCACGACGAGATGTCATTTTGTATCTGCATGGTGGGGTTTCTATTGATACCACCTGCATGACGGGGGGATGTATGTTAATACCCGCATAACGGGGTTTTTGTTGATATCTGCATGACGGGGGGATATCTGTTGATATCCGCATGAAGGGGCTTTTGTTGATATCTGCATGTCGGGGGGATATCTGTTGATACCCGCATAACGGGGCTTTTGTTGATATCTGCATAACGGGAAGATGTTTTTTGATGCCTATAATTATTGACCACAGTGGGTTCCATCGATGTGATTTCTTTCATACCAATATTGTAAACTTTGAATATTATAACTGTAAGCATTTAGCGTTATGACATAAACACTGAGAATGTATTTTTCCTTTTGTGGTATAATCATTTTGCTTTCTAACTGCTGTCGTAAACGCTTTTGTCCGCCTTATCATTTGTAGCAAGCAGTTTTAATTCCCGCAGAGAAATGGTTTGTTCAAACTTTTTGTAAATAGATATGCCAGTAGTTATACAGTAGAAAATGTATTCAATCGGTGAAAAAACAATTTACGAAGCAAAATGATGATAATACAGAAGGCAATCTGAAGGAACTTCCAGCATTTCTTTCACCATCTTCTCACAATCTTCTCAGTAACATTTATTTTTCGTTCTTTCATAATCATCAAATTTCAGATTGATCTTGGTATAGTCATATTCAGTGACTGGTGAATTTTAGATTAGTTCCATTATAATAAGGTTGGATGAGTTAATGCTGAAAGAAAAATACTGATCAAAGTTAAAGATGCTTCGAACATTATCAATTTGCAGTAGTGAAAGAAGTTCATAATGAGTGTCGATTCTGTGCAACATGCCATCAAACTGCAAAGTTATTATTATTACTGTTTTTCCTTATTGCTTAAAATCTTTGTTAGACTAAAAAGTTGTTGATATGTCATACAAATTATATGTAACTTATTTTTTTGTTTTTACATTCTTTTTCAAGATTTATAAATAAAAGCTATAAAAATCTCCTGTTTTTGTGTATATGATAGAGTGTGATACACTGAGAATGGTGAAAGTAAGATGCAATAGAGCTAGCATTAATAAAGTATGCATAACTTTCTAATAGTAGAAATGATACAGGAAAAAAAAAAGAATGATATTTCGGATGTAGTACGTGTACCACTTTGTTTTCGAAGCACCAACTTTTCTTCTTTTCCTGAAAATTTACTTCAATCTAGCTTAGCTTTTTCTTGAAAAATTGATCTGAAGAATGTTTGAAATAAAATATAGTGGAATTATTCTAGAAGGTTGGATCCGTTTATCGGAATTCGCTGCACTATCGTATGGCGTTCCAGCAGAAATTTCGATACCACGTGTGAACGAGGTTATCATGAAACTTCATCAACTTTAGTTTAGATGTTTAGAGTTTCCAAATAACTTTTATCCTGTAAGAAAAAATTTTTCGGTATAAAGGATTTAAGTGGTGCTTTTGAGCATGAATTCCCTAACTTTTCCGTCTAAAAACAAGGATGGTTGTTTTATTTCTTTCATGATTGATATGAATATGCCCTATATCTGTAAAATAACACTGTAGGACAAGGTGTTCATGTTCCATTTGAATATGCATGGGATTTCTAAGGAGAAAGAAAGGCGATTGCGAGAGCTTTATGAACGGCTAGATATGAATGGGAATGGAATCATCGACATTCGAGATTTGACAAATGCGCTCAAGCACAGCTCTCCTCATATTCCAAATGGTGTTACGCCTGTAAAGTTTTTTGGCTTTAAACTCATTGGTTGTTATGATTTCTTTGTAAATGAAATTTATGATGATATTTTTGCCAGTCATTTTGTTTTAAATGACCAGTATTTTTCACTTATAAAAACTTATTTTTCATTTATTTAAATTGTCTTTTCAAAATATTTTTTGGATTTTCAGGGATTTGCTCAAATTAATCACTTAAATGATGTAATAACGTTTGAGGAGTTTATGCAGTACGCTATTGAGCATAAGAAAAAGCTGGAAATTATATTCCGAGATTTAGATAAGAATAAGAAAAAAAATAGTTGGTTTTCCCTTCCTTTGTTACTTTTATTTCTTAAAGAATTTTTCATGATTTGAAAAATCAAATGATCAATTCATTTTCTTGTCATTTCACTTTTTTTTAGGACTTTTGCACAATCCTAATCTAGATTTGTTGCAGATGTACTTCCTAAATTTTCTAACTATTCGCCAGAAAAAAACTTCTTTTGTAGGTTATGTCGGTGTGCAAGAGATCAAGAAATACTGTGATGATCTTGGTCTTCCAATAAGCGAAACGAAAGCACAAGAAATTGTTGAATGGTAAATTGTGTGTTTTTTTCTTTTTTTTTGGCAGCGGTAAAAATCTGTGCCCATTTTTCAATTCATAAAATAAAGGCAGATGAAGTATTTGAATCAATTCCAAAATTGTTTGTGAAGAGGTTCTTTTGTCTTTTTTTTTCGAAAAACGTAGCTGAATGATGGAAATCAAAAAGTCATGTTTCAACATGATTATGAAACTAGTTTATCGATTGTAACAGTTTTGTTACCAAATGACTCCGTGGCTCACAGCATGTTATATTTATTTTTAAAATATTAAGAGCAAGTTCAGATACACCTCGAGATCAGGGAATAAAGTTCGTTATGTTTCTCATTCAGGATGGCACGCACAAACTCAGCTTCTGTGAATTTCTCAGAATTCAAAGATTTCATGTTGCTTTATCCGCGATCAAAACCAGATGAAATTGCGAAACTTTGGAAACATAATTTGGTTAAAATTTTCTCTGAAGTTGACTGAATCCTGTTAACTCATTTTTACATTCAGGAAGTCAAATTCCTAAAGTTCGAAAAAAAAACCAAGTTTTTGTGATACTAATGTATCGTCCTCTATTGACTTATCTCAACTACTCAGGTGATTGATATTGGTGAAGATAGCCAAATCCCAAAAGATTTCTCGCAGCAGGAAATCACTTCAGGATTTTGGTGGAAGCATTTGGTAGCTGGTGGAGTTGCAGGAGGTGTGAGTCGGACATGTACAGCACCGTTAGATCGAGTGAAAATTTATCTTCAAGTAGGGTTTTTACATTTTTTTTTAGATTTTTATGTTGAAGTAACTATGCTGAACTTTTTATGTTTAATACCATGTATGCTTCTTATAAGTTTTAGGAAAATTTCTCATTTAGGTCCATGCAACTCTACTCAACCGTTTGCGGTTTCCAAAGGCAGCAAAACTTTTATATGAAGAAGGTGGATTGAAGTCTTTCTGGAGAGGAAATGGCGTTAACATCGCGAAAATTGCACCCGAATCAGCTATCAAATTTCTTTCTTATGACGTTGTACGTGCGTTTTCATACCAAGCATTTCAGCACATTCCACAACAGAATTTCTTGTCGCATGATATCATTTCAGATTAAGCGACTGATCGTTAGAGAGAGAGGTGAAGGTCACAAGCTTCAGATTTCTGAACGATTTGCTGCGGGTTCTGCTGCAGGTGTAGTATCTCAAACAATAATTTATCCTTTAGAAGTACGTTTTTTCTTACTTTTGCTTTTTTTTATTCATTGCAGTCTTTCCATTTCCTACATTCCGTATTATTTGCACTCATTTAGATTTTTTTTATTATAAATTTTGCAATTTCATAAATTTTCCAATTTTCAGGTATTAAAAACACGCTTAGCACTGCGGCACAGCAGTCAGTTGGAAAGTGGTTTAGTCGATCTTGCGGCGAAAATGTATAGGAATGAAGGCTTTATTTCTTTTTATAAGGTGACATATTAGATTATGATTGCCAATAAATCCATTTCCGACTGGAGTTTTTCATTTCACGGAAGTATTTCTGGTTTAATTGATATCATTGTTTCAGGGGATTGTTCCCAATCTTATCGGCATCATTCCTTATGCCGGTATCGATTTGGCTATTTATGAAACACTCAAAAATTATTATGTTAACAATTACAATGCTTATCCAGTTCGTGACATCGTTGCTCTTCCGGTATGTGGTGCTTGCAGTTCTATTTGTGGTATATTAGCGAGTTATCCGTTTGCTCTTGTGAGGACACGATTGCAAGCTTTAGGTATGCTTTGCTTCATTTATGGAGCTAAATCCTGCATTTAATCAATTTTACCTCATTTCGAGGTAGTATAATTTCTTGCCCAATTTTCTTGTTCATGAGTAATGGAAACGATGTAATACAATTCTAGCCTTCCTATGTTCCCATCTCTTTATCAAACATGAAGTTATTTATTATGATATAATGCATATTTCAGCGATGTCGGGTAATTTAACTCAACCAGATACTATGAATGGACAAATAAAATACATCTGGAGGAATGACGGATTGTATGGCTTTTACCGAGGACTTACTGCTAATTTAGTGAAAGCCGTGCCGGCAGTAGCCATAAGTTATTATGTTTATGAACATGTACGTTCATGGCTAGGTGCCTCGATGATGTGATTTGTTGATATGTTTAGTTTTATATTTGTTTACTTTTTTATGTAATTTGTAATCATATTTGAGGAAACTACGAAATTTCCACACTTTTTTTGTGGAGAATTCTAAATCATTGTTAAAATGTAAAATGAATCACATTGCATTTGTGTTTTGTTTTTTTTTTTGTTAAACGCATTCCTTTATTATTTCCTTTCCTTGCCCTTCTATCTATAAAGCTTTCCTTATATCTATAAAAGTTTGCTCTCTCGTTTTCAACTTTGACTATCTAACTATTCAGCGTGATACACCTCACGGTAATGATGTAATCCACATAGCTACTACTAAATTTCATTCAATCTGTTTGCTGGTTAAATCACTCGCGTAAGGTTTGCCGTTTGCATTTTATCAAAAACTGAAAATTTATAATGGTTTTTTTTGGGAATTGTTTTGACTAGAAATTCTTATCTAAATTCCGTTTACATATCCACTTTTTGAATAATTTCGATATTGGGTTTGTAGTTTGTACAAATAGAAAAAGTTTTGTTTGATATCGAACTGCTGCTTTTTTGTGATGTCGCAAAGTTTTGTTTGCTTGTTTTAGGAAATTTACAAATCAATGATACACAAACTTAGTTGCTGGTATTTTTTTAGCAGTGGTGGCAAAATTTTTACTCTTCTTTCTTTTCGATTTTGGTAAAATTTTCGTAAATTGAAGTGAATTTTTTGTTTGGAAATAGATTTTTTTTTTAATCCGAAATTATAATCAAGAAAATGAAGAATGTTATTTGATTAAGAGTTATGTAGCTGAAGATAATCGGGTGATTTTAAATACATTTTACAACGAGGTTAACAATGAACAAATATGTTTAACAAGTGAAAAACATAGTATCATTTTTTGTCGTCTCTTTACCGTTTATTGCAATTTACTGAAGTGATTTATCATTTTTTTGTTGTGACCGTGGAGATTTGTTCATGTGTGTTGCTCTTCATTCCCCTAAATTGGAAATACATTGTTGAAACATTTTTATTTAATAGATCATTGTAATTTCCTCTAATTTTTGTTCACCCCGGATATAAAGATGGTGTTCAAATAGTATCTCTTAGTTCTTTGAGATCAAGAAAGTATTCACTTCAAACAACGCGAGACTACTTTAACAGATTTGGATGTGATGTAAAAGTCGAAAGTTACAAATGAGTCTGTGATGCAGAAAAATAGTGTAAACAATTGCAATTCGGTGAGAAAAGTGGAATAGATACTTTGAGATATTTATTAATTTTTTTAATTTCAGATGAGAAGCGTACGGGATACAGGTGTGCTCTTTCCAAGTACACTAAGTAACGATGAAAAACGTTTAAAGGAAGTATTCGAGAAATTACGGTCCATTGTAGGTTTCCACTCACTTATTTTGATATTTCTAAATTAGAAAAAGCATTGAATGTTAATGTTCACTTGATTAGAGTAATAATAATGATAAGCATGCTGCACTGAATGACGATGGTGTACTGCTAAAGTAGACTTTTGCAAATTATGAACTTGGAATGATTAAAAAGGAATTATGTGTTAAATTATTCTTGGAAGAATTGGATATATAAAGATGTGGAAATACATTATTACTTGACTTAATGTTATTGTCAGTGAGAAATTACCTTGGTTAATAAAGTAAGAATTTGCAGCGAAAGGCGATAGCAGCAACAAACAAATTGAATGCTAGCGGAACAGTTGGTGACAACCTCAAGACTGAGCGGAAAACAACCAAAAGACGTGCAAAATTCTTTTTCTTGGACTTTTCAAAAAAAAAAAGAATTCATTTTGATCAGTGACTTTGATCCGCTTTGCATGCCAATCAGCGGCACAACTAAAAAATAGATGTTCAAGAGATAGAAATTCCTGCATTATGATATAAAAGCTGTATTTTGTTTTGTGACATGTCTGGAAATATTACTACATTTTTCCTTATTTCAGACTTACAACAGGCGGAAGAGGCTACGGAAGAAGTGAAACGCAAAGTTTTAATTGGTGCTGTCAGTTTTAAGAAAGCTGATGAAAGGAAAGATTCATTTAAACGATCAAGTTTAGTTGGCAGACGTCGAGTAAGATTTTGATGACGATTATTTTGAAATTATTTGGAATATTACTTGTTCCAGACGTCTTTCTCAAGTTATCACTTATTCTTTATTCTTCATCCTTTAGTACTAAATTCAACGTAACTAAGCTGTCATCCAAACTGATATTCAAATTTAAAATGACAGGAAAGACCTCCAGTCAATTTTTCTATTGCTTAGAAATGTTTAACGATTTCTAGAAATGATGCGATATTTTTCGTTTGCATATTCATAACACATGTACGAATTATCAGTATCAGTATTTTGATTTTAAAACTAATCTTTCATCAAAGATGCAGTTAAGTATGTGTTAACTTTATTTTTCAGAATAGTGGCAAAACAAAAACTGACAATGATACGGTAGGTTATTTTAAGACATTGTTTAATGCCTTTATATATGCTTTCTTTTGCTGTCATATTCTATACTTTTATTAAATGATTTTATTTTATAAAGTAAAAGCACGCTTACGATGATATCTACGTAGTTTATCTTTACCACTAGATTTTGAAAAATTTATATATAGTCAAAAACTTGCTGACTTTTGCTGGGCATACTTTTTATTTATTATATAAATATGAAAACACTGCACAGCTTTCTATGACCTTGTAATATTTCCGTTGAACAACTGTTTCTGCTAGTATTTTTCTCTCAATCTTTGAACTACTAGAGGCAGTCTATCCTCTTATGTATTCAGAATTTTCTATTTAATTTTGAAGTTTTTTTTTTCTTCCGAAATTATGTAAATTATGGTTTATCATTCTAAAATTTAAGTGAAACTTCTATACCATCGGTGTTCCATTTAAAACCGTAAATTTCTAAACTATTATATATATTTCTGTTACAGGTAAATAACAGTAATACGGAGTTATTACCACTGAATGCTGATGATGGTTTTGATACATACAAACCACTTTCCTCGAATGATCATTCTGAGACGAAAAAAAAGATGGGAGAACCATCGGACGGTTTTGACACTTTTAAACCACCTTATAACCCTGGTACTTGCAAAAGTGCTGCATCCGATGTTACTGGCATACCTAGGCCAGGATCGAGTTCCACTTCACGGACGATTTCTCCAGTATCAGATAATTTTGATACTTATAAAACTCGAGAAGGAGAAAATGCATTCGACAATTACCGACCAATAGGCGTTCGTGATAATGCTGATTTCGATACGAACTTACCATCTACTTCTTTTGATGTCTACAAACCTACATCTGTCGATGATGGATTTGATACTTACAAACCAACACAGTCGTTTTCTTTTGACGCGAGCAGTGGATCATCGCCTTTTGTTGGTTTTGAGCAACCAAAACCATGTAGGGCAAGTTGTCTTGATATTTTCACAGATTTGGTTTATTGTGTTTATTTAAAATTTCGGAAACAGAAAATTTTTGATTTAAAAAAAAAGAAAAATTCTGATATTTTTACTTTATATGATATTTTTTGAATTCCACTTACTTCGTTACTTTAAAAAAAAAAGAAAAAGAAAAGAAAAGGAAAACTTTCGAAGTGATCCAAAAAGAAGGAAGTATTTTGACTTGACAGTTGCAGGTTGCAGTATTTCCTCTGTTTTAGGGTCCTTGTTTATACATTCGTGGATATGATTTGGTAGCAGATTCTTTGCGGAATGTATTTAGTAAATATGGTGCTATCAATAGAGTTTTTGTGGAAGAGCGTCAAAAGTACATCTATAACTTATTGTCTTCTAATATAGTAAGGGGCAGTTTTTATTATTCCAAATATTTATACAGAGATAGTGAGGCATAATTTTTTTTTTTTGTCTTCAAATTTTTCAAATTTTGTGAGTCTTCAGGAGTGCATTCATTACATATGCCACAACGGAGGAAGCGGAAGTTGCGATAAAGGAAGTAAGCATATGGTAGTTATAACATGGAATGAAATGACTAAGATATTTGAATAGGAATGGTTGGAAAATAACATTTTCATAATTGAAGTATCCGATTTGGGTTATTGTTACGATCAGTTATTGTTGTGCTAATCGAACTACTTTGATTAATATTTACCTTTGGTGTTAATAAATAGGTATTTAAGTATGTCCTAGTACCGAGTTTCAAAAACTTGATTTTTCCAAAGAAACTTTCGAAAGCTTCTTTTCAGAT